GTGCCAGCCCCAGGACACACACGTGTCAGTCCCAGGACACACACGTGTCAGTCCCAGGACACACACGTGTCAGTCCCAGGACACACAGACCCACTGCCCCGCGCTCCCTGACGAAGGATTTGGCAGAGTCAGAGCCAGGACAGCTTGTCTGGAAAGGCTGGAGGAGAAGGCTCAGGGATTTTTTTCCTTCTTCTTGGGCACTGATTGGTTCAAGTTTGTATCACAGTGAAGTCTGAGAAGTGGGGAAGAAACTCAAACCACCTTCCCTGATAGACAAAGCCTGGTTCTCCTGCCTGACTCAGGCCACTCCTAACCAGGCACTTCCCACCGTCGCTGCCCACGGAAGCTCCATCACTCAGCAGGGACCTCTGGACCTTCTCCCTCCAACCAGCAGCAGGCAGGAGGAATCCAGGGGGCCAAACCAGCCCCATCCCACCGGGCTCAGCCCTGGAGCCCATCCTCAAACACAGGTAAACATAAAAGAGAAACTAAGAGGCACTAATAACACAGGGAGGGGGGAGGCTCAGGCTGGTGACCTCACGCCTGGCTCCGGATGGCTCCGTCCAGCTGGGGAAAAGCCAAAGCCCTGGGTCAGATCTCCTGCAGGGAGTGGCTGGGATCACTGCGTTCCCGTTTCACCAGAGGTTCCCCCACGCTCCTGGAGACTGTGTCCACCTCACTGCCCAGGTCACTCATGTCATCTGCAAAGGACAGGGCTCAGCATGTAACGGGGCCGCGAGGAACGAGCGCCGGGACGAGGGGAAACGGCCTCAGGTTGTGCCAGGGGAGGTTTGGGTTGGGTCTTGGGAACAATTTCTGCACAGGAAGGGTTGCCAAGCACTGGCCCAAGGCTGCCCAGGGAAGTGGTGGAGTCACCATCCCTGGACAGGTTTAAAAGTCACGTAGATGTGGTGCTGAGGGACATGGGTTAGCAGTGGATTTGGCAGAGGTGGGTTAATGGTTGGACTTGATGAGCTCAGACATATTTTCCAACAGAAATGACTCTATGAGAGTGGGGACTGGAGGGGAAGAGGTTCTTCTTCCCAACAGAGCAGGGTCAGCATGAGGTTCCCCCCTCCCACAGTGATTCAACCCCGACCCAGTGGGTCTTCCCTGGGAGAAGAAGAGGTACCTTTGTCCAGCAGGGTGGGGGACAGGGATGCCAGGTCACCAAACTGAAAGAAAAAGGAGTTACAAGGTAAGTG